CAAAAATTGACGAGAGCCTGATTCCACCACGCTGCCTCACATATTATGTGATGTAGCGATAAGGCGCTTCGCTGTCGCACCCGGAGACTTGAGTTCGATTCCTGATCGGGGAGACTTTCTGTTGAGTATCTGGGTCTTTCTGCTGGGATGTTGTATCCCCTCCCAGCTTGGGTGAGCCCTGACAGATAGGGTCGAGAGCCAACTACCTAGATTATCTGAATTGTGTCGAAAGAAACGTTACAACACCTGCATTACACAAAAAGATACACACACACATGCACACACACACACACACACACACACACACACACACACACACACACACACACACACACACACAACAAGGTAAATACACGGGTAAACACGGGAAATAACATGAAATGAAATACTGGAATGAACACAACGTCTTGGAGAATACCGAATAATAATTCAACCATTTCCATTTCAAATTTACCTGCGCTGCACTGAAATAAAGATTAGTGGGAAACACGATTAGGTTTCGTCAAACACAAAAGCAAACGTGGTGGTGCAATCGGCGAAAACAATGCAACAGGCAGTTGAATCGAAAGTAAATAGTTAACGGTAATTATAAACAAACTGCTGAAGGGCTCATACCGCTCGGCAATCTGTAACTGAATATATTGACGTCGTGATCACTATTTTTAGTATTGGCGATTCATTTTGTCCAAGACAAACTTAAGATTTACAAAATGAGGAATCGAGTGTCTTGCATCATAACTAAACTATTATAATAAATACCTCATTCTAGATTGTTTTAAGGTTTGGAAAGAGGAGGATTACGACGATACTAAACATGTTAGGGTCATGCAGGGAAACGTTGCTGCCAGCTGTCGTCACCGTCTAACTAAAGAATATTTTGTCTAATTATGGGCTAACTGTGGGCTAATTGTGGGCTTGTTTCATGAAAAGGCGTCATTGTTTTAGGAGGTTACCCTAAAAGTAATGCCTCTAGTAAAAGTGATATTTTAAAATATTTTCAAATTGAGACCAGGGAGTATCGGTTCCAAGGATATTCAGGTACTCAAAAATTTTAAAAAGTTGAAAGTAGACATTTTGACCCTAACATCATGTTTTGAAGACCCGTACCTTAATTTGTTTCAGCTTGGCTGTTTTAACTTTGATAAAAATTTGCACTGAAGTCTAAGAGAAAAAAAAGCAACTAATGTTTAAATCAACTCTCTTGTAGACTGTTTCAATTTTGTTTTTAAAAAAGTGTAAAAAAAATCACCCTTTCGTTGACTGCTTTTCTTGAAGGCTGCACGATACCCTAACAAAAAAAACCCCAAGTGAATAAAATCACCCATTCGTGGATAGTTTATATATTTAAATGGAGAACTGAGACCTTAGAAGAAAGGCACAAACTTTGTTTAAAGCTGCACTGCTCACAAAGAGTGAGCGAGACGGGGGTAAAAATTGAGCAGTGTATTGTAGACAGCTTAGGCCAAAAATATACTGCATTGCACAACTGAAGTGCGCCGCGAAACGGACGAGCAGCTAGGTCGGAAGTGGTGATCCCATTGGTCAGCACGACTCCGTCCGACTGTGTAAAAAATGGCGCTGAGAAGAACACTCCGATAGCAGGACGAGCCTGTCCGCACGCGAAGAAGAAGTGCTGCACTCACGCACGTCGTCTTTTTGGGTCCTCACGACTGCTCACGTCTTGAAGTCGTGTCAGTGAAATCACCGACATGAAATAAAGAGAAGGGACGACCTTTTTCGCGGTGCACTTCAGTTGTGCTAGGCAGTATATTTTCAGCCTCAGAGGAAGAGGAAGAGAAAAGTTGTGGCATCACGACTTTCTGAGGAGTATTCATGCTGGTTGTAATGCAGATGAACGATTACAATAATTACTACGTTCACTAAAACATGAAGTGTGAAAATCAATGGCTCTTGCAGCGTTAGAAATCCGTTCTCTGTGTCGCCCAACGATCGGAGTTTGTTTGCGTCTCTCTCTCTCTCTCTCTCTC